CGTGCGCAGCTCAACTGGTGTTAAAAAAAGCAAAGCTCGAAAAACCGGACGGAAGTGAACCAATCACCTGACAATGCTGGTTCGTCGTGACGTTTGTAATGGAGCTCAAACGCGATTGCAGGCAAGACTGAAAGGAAAGGGCGGCGAAGGAAACCCTTCATAAATCCTTCCAGTGAAGAGTTCAGCAGATTGAAAACAAATTTTGGCTCAGCGTCTCAAGATACGTACAGAAATGTGCGCCCCATTCCATGGGCCAGGTTGTGTTTATGGCCTCTCTATGTTTACCAGATTCGCAGCCCTCAAGCATAGCATAAAGGTAACTCATAAGAGAGCGCTGTGAGCTTTTAAAACGACCAGGTCGTGTCAAATTGTAAATAAATTAACGAAAATTTCATAACTAGATCTTTGACAGTATCTTCACTTCAAATCCTCCTGTTTCCAAGGAGCTCCTGCCGGTATTTCTCCACTTGAATTTTTATTCCAGACTGTTTCACTTTCGCAACTTTACACCGGCTCAAACACTTCGCTAATTAGTGGTTACAGTGAGCGAGTAGTAGCAACACCACTGGGCTTCTTACTGACTAGTTCGCTTATAATCCTATCCTGCCGCGAGGCACAATCACCCACCTTGCCCAGGATTTCGTTTACCCCCATTTACATACATACCTGACAAAAAATGTCAGGGCAGATGCAGTCTCTATGAAAGCAGACGGTACTGATCTGTGTCGCAGTTAAGGGATTCACCATTTGCTCAGTCTAACTTTAGAAGTCTGTTTGAAGTTTAAAATTGTACAAATCATTGTTGTCATCTTTATCCTTTTAAAGGTATTTATGGAATATGTGAATTTATTATTAGTATTATAACTAATTGTTCAGCTGACGTTTGACGTCTTCACATCCATAAGAGCCCGTGAAAAGATTTAGAGATCAATGAGATTTGAATTCCGAAACAATGCTGAAGACAATTTCGGCAGCTTAGTGAACCAATTTATGGTAACGATCAATGAAAACATGTTTAATAAGCCACCGATCTGCTTTTGCGATGATCCGAAGATGACCACCATCGTGGGACTTGAGTTTAAAGTGAACACTATCTACATACGCTAGGTGTTGTTTTGAAATGTTGCAGATCAGAATAAACAAGACACCGTAGAACGGCGTAAGCTTAAGGATTGCGGATAAGCATTCCTATCCCATATCAATTTTTCGCTATTTTGCCGAAATCCAGTTGTTTCCTATGCAGCAATTTTCCACACCTTTCTTTCGCTTTTAAGTCTCTGCCGAAGGCCAACAATTAAGTACTAGTTGAATAAATTGCCTGATCTTGCTGGCTCAAATTTCATAACTATCCGTCACATCGACCATGAAATGATAAAAGAAGGTCTTCAATTTATGATATTATTTTATACCCATTTGATCAGATACCTACTTCAGGATGCGTCAGTCGTTTTCTGCCCTCAGTGCTTGGTCTTTAGGCTTGATGAAGAGCTAACTTATCGGCTACACAGTGGTTAAAATAAGTTTTGGATGAAAGTAAGCTAACTCAGAAGAGTTGCAATTTTTAGAACCAGGGAAAATATCTTACAGGGGGAGAATAGATTTCTACAAAAAGGGGAAGGCAGAGAGAAATGAATTTCTCCTCACGTTCGAAACGTAATTAATCCCACTTCGCTGAGTCCGAGCTGAATGCTCTACGATCAAAATTGGACATGCTACTTTATGAAAAAAAAACCTCATATTTCTCTGTGGCCTGGCTATTCAGAGTTATGCTTCTAGGAAACCATCCACCAACGATTATTCAAGAAGTTATGTAGCAGCTCCAGTCTTGAGCAATTACGGTAGGTCCCCTTGAGCTCAACGGCAATGGCAGATGACTTCATATTCTGAAAACAATGAGGACTGTGAAGGTGCGCCTGATTCGGCTTGTAGAGGAGTGCTTCTGAGATACATCCATCAACGCCCGCAGTCTGCTAACAAGAAATCGCTGCTATGAGACATGGGCAAAACGTTTTCTGAACTCTCCCTTCACCATTGTGGATTCAAAAACACTGTTTTACGCAGGAAGTACAGTCCTGTTTACTTCGAAAATTCTGATCGTGAGTTCGCAGTTTTTCAAGTACCAGTTAAGAGTCGGTCCAAACTTGAGCATTCCAGAGAAAAGAGCATGGAACCAGTTGATCAAGCTTCACAAAACGTTTCTTCGAATACTTTCCACAAGCTCTTTCCATGCACTCGGGTTCTATCTCAAGAGTCGATGAATATATACGCGCACATGATCCCACTTATATAAAGGAACTAGGATAATAATAAAAAGGATAAAGCATTTGCCGTTGATCAATCCCTTTTTGGGATGCGGCACGCATTCTACTTCCATTTGTACATTCGCAGCGGCTTTTGAATGCGATGTGGCCTATACAATGACTTGCGGGGGCCAGCCGATGTTCAAGTCAGTGTTTTTATCCTCCCGACAAGTCTGGTACCAATTAACCGACCCCGGAGGGATGGAAGGCTTTTGGTTGGCCCGGGCGACTCACGAGCCAGGATTCGATCCCCGGACCGCTCGCGTGGTGAGCGCGCCACTTGTCACTACACCACTTCCGCCACTTGTCACTACACAAAGGAACTAGTGAGCAGGAAGAATTGCCTAAAATTCGCTCCATAATGTATCACGTACTTTGTCTTTGTCATCCACTGTACTGCAAAATTAATCCAATTTTTTGTGGATTCAATGTTTTCCGCTCAATTTTTGAGCGCTGGGTGATCGTGGATGTAGACCGGGAGTTCAGAATTTCACACTCTCGTGTTCCACTGCGAGTCAGTATCATAAAGGCACTAGCTCGATTTTATGACGTTCCAGTAAAAATTCGTCGAAGCGTGCGAAGGCAGTGACTGAAACGGTTCACTATCCTAAACCGTTTAGCTGCAAAAACAGCGTGGAACAACTTGATCACAGATATTATTTTCTTGATGGTGTGACTCTAAACATCACTTCGCGTCATGCTCTAAAGATAAAGATCAGTTTTTTTGCATCTTCACACAATGGCAAATTCGAGATGTATACGGTTTGATTTCCATGAAAAATTCCTTCCTGAGAAAGTTTTGCTTCCCTCTCCCCTTCCACCTTCTCCTTACCGTCAGCTGACCTACACGCTCTTACGCCACTAGTGCGATCCACATGAGACCGGTCCCAGGCTCACGTGGCGGCCGACGGGCAGTTGTCGCAGCTGGGGTAAGCCCAATCAACACCACAATCGTGGCTTTCTCAAGTCTGAAGTAAAAATCGATTATATGTGAATCAAAGATAGTCAATGTAGTCGCGTATAGGTGGAAAGCTGGATACGAACATTACCTGGCCGACAACAGATGCCGTAACAGCCCCTGATTGATGGATAAGCAGCCAACACCAATCGGAGACAACATTTAACGTTTTTGATTCCCAGACAGTTTACCCAAAAGGCACCTTGACTTGCTGCGACTCCACAAATACGTTTTTAAGTGTGAACAAAAGAGTTCGGAGAATAAGAAGATTCCCTAGGAGCAAAATCAGTTACATTTTATTTCTTTTTTTTTCAAGGCGATTCATATATCCGAAACCTGCTCGACGTTCCTCTGATTTTTCCATCATAGTCGTTTCTTTATGCTTTCCTTTTCTACTTCCTGCTTTCATTGTGATACCGCTATAAAGAACCGGTCTAAGTAGCGTCACAGCGACGTGTTCACAATCAAGCTTAATGGCACATGGCACAGAGACTGCATCCATCAGCGGTCATGGCATCGCTGTTTCGCCATTATTAGATTACTGGTTAATACGGCAGCATTCCGACTGAACATAACCATTTATCGCATTTGGCGGAATGAAATTGAACTAACATTCAATCGAACGGGAAGTATACCGAGCACTGGTCATGTCTAGCCGGAGCCTATTAGTCTAGGGATTTATAGCAGTCAAAGAAAGAAGACCATCGATTCGGAACGAGCTCGTTATCGATCCTATTATAAATTACATGCCCCGGTAGCAAATCATTTTATTTATTTATTTTATTTATCTTTGCACTCATTGGTGCGCTGTGACAACAACAGAAAGGGTTAGTTATGATAGACTGGTCAAGAACAAAAAGAGAACTAAAATACTGAATAAATCTTTGGAAATAAGCCTAGATTCGAAAAGTTCCCACAGTCTGTGGGCCGACAGAGATTAGACAAAGTTCGCACCACAAACCACCTATCGGACGATAGCAGGTGTTGTTATCACCGCCTGTGTTTTCCGAGTTATTTGGTGTTTACTAAGAAATCATAGCTTAGGTCATAAGCACACACAGATATGCACTTTTTTCGCGTTTAATATGTCTGGAAGGGAAGGGGTGGTAACCAGGGTCAAGTGTGCGTTGTGGAATCAGGTCGACAGAGGGATCGTATTTCGAAGAGAGGGTTCGGGCCGGATCGATGCGGTAGGATCACCACCAGAACAACAAAATTATTATTCAGAATGATTACCTCTGCAAGATTGATGATAGTGTTGCAAAAGAAAATATAGATACAACCGAGAAGGTTCACGCTAGCGTAAGGAGTCAATGTAGTCCTTAGTAAAAAAAAAACAGTGAGTACGACCACTTACTACCAGTAGAAGCAGGCAAGGGCGGCTGGCGGGGTCCTGCGGGCAGTGTCGAGCGTGCGGCCTCGTTCTTCCCAAAGCGAAGTTCCAACTCCTTCTCTCCACGAGCTCATCCACATTCCACATTTCGCGCCCATTTTTCCCGCGCTCCACCGCCTGCCTTGCGTTCCAGACACATGGTAAGTGACATATCGATTGAAATAGATTATCAGTGATGAGACTCAGATCAAACATTACATTTAGGGTACTCACTAAAAACACACATATTGTTAAAAGCCTGTCATCTTTATAAAAGAAGTCATCGTCCTAGCAAAGGAAACATTGCATACTGCCTAAGGGTTCCACATGTCCCCCCTCCGGGCAAGATCTGTCCCCAGATCTTGTACACTCAAATGCTCAGGTCTTCGAAGTGCTTCTGTGCGGCGCGTTCAAGTGCTCGCGCTTTTCTTTTTTTCACCCTTTTTAAGTGACGCTTCGATACCCGCCCATCACGAACTTTCGGCACACCTGAAAGTTCGCGTTGACGACTCGTCGACGGTTGTCCTGCCGACCTCTGCATCGATTTGGGTACCTTGAGTACCTCCAGGTCCGCCACCTCTTTCACTAGAAACCGCAAAAAATTGTAGAACTCCATCGCTTGTTCCACGTGCCACCATCTTTCAGGATCATGAACGACGCCCACTTTCAAACACGCCATCGACGATTTGAGCACGCCGGGTTCTGCCGGGATCATGTCATGAATCTGCGAAACGAAAGCCGGAAATGCATCCATGTATCCTTGTAGATGACATCTGGCTTTCTCATTCAACCGGTCCAAATTCCTTCCTCTACGGATCTGGGTCCATTCACAATACAGACCTGAGTGCCGCAGCTAAGCCAAAGCTTCAAAACATTTGCAAATTGAATCCATGAGTACGCATTGGAAGGCTCCTTCGGCGGTAAAATGAGCACAACGACACCGACATCGTTAGCAAAAAGGTTATTGTTCGTTGTGCGAATGTCCTTGAATGATTTATAATAGAAGAACGTAGTCCTTGTCGACAAGCAACGAACGTAGTCCTTGTCGACAAGCGACAGGCGTGTTTGAGCCTGTGGAGGACCTCACCACGACAACCACACGCGGGTGTTCATTCGCACCCTGCACGGTCGAACAAATATTAGACCACTCGAGCTGACGCGCGATACTCCATCCGTATTCAATTATTCTCGTGGTATCCCATGGCAATCCGCTCAGTAGAGAATGCCTCAACACAGCTTCCTGTGGGACCAGCCCTGCCATTATGGAGACGTGAAAACAGCGTTAACGGAAAAATGCATAAGCGTATCCGACGGCCTTTGGGCTATTAGCCAGGAACGACTTGTCGACGATGCTCTGTACCTTGAGACTTATGGAGCCAGTGCCCCACCATATCGCAAAAACCCGCGCAGCATCTAGCACACACGCTACCCTTTCCTCACGAGCCGGCTGCGGGACCATCGGCAACAGGTCTCCCACGCAAATACTGCGACTGCAGCGACACTGGTGGAGCATGAAACCAGAGCGACCATCAACGGCTGGAAACGGCTGCCCGTCACATTTGAACATCACATGAAGAAAGTGCATGGTGTCGTTGACATCGAACTCATCAACAGCCCTTAAACACATGTTTACACCAACACTGATTTGGCTGTCATTTTTCTCACACCCTTTCTCTCTGGGTTTCCTTCCTCTCTTTCTCCTAGTCTCAACCACTACTGGGTCATTACCGATTTCATCTGGACATTTGAGTAACAGATAAAACTGTATACGCAGTGGTTCTTCATTTTTACCGATCTTGGTAGTCAAAGCCGAAGTGTCACTTGTTTCTATCACCCTATACGGTCCATCCCAGTCATAAGACAGCTCGGATGCTTAGACTTTACTTTCTCCCGCGGCATTTTCATGAATATTCGGCTACCAACCGTACGTAGGGTGTCCGTATTCACACTGTTTTAACTTTTCATCGCCGCTCGATACCTTTCGGTTTGTGCATTTACCTCTTCCCGTATCACTCTCATACCTCTGAGAAGTTCAGACTTGTAGTCGTCCAGATCAACCTGGCTCACTTTCACTCTCGGCTCTGGTAACGAGTCGAGGGGAATCACTGGATCGACGCCATACAGTAAGAAGAATGGGCTTTCTCTAGTCGCAGAATGTGGTGTGACATTGTAAGCGTAAACCACGTGCGGGAGCATGGTGTCCCAATGATCTGGGCACTCGATTTTCTTTTTGAGCACCTCTGTATAGTTCCGATTGCCCTTTCTGCAGCTCCATTTTCTCTGGAATTATATCCCTTCGTCCTAGTATGTACAACTCCAGATACATTGGCTAGTTCCTCCACAACTTCATTAATGAATTGTACCTTGATCTATGTGGAGTTGCCTCGGCCACCGCCCGCCTTCACAAATCCACCTTTGGAAGATGAAACAAGCGACCGTTTTTTGCTTTTTTGCCTTCATGGCATAGGCTCCTAGCCATTTCGAGAAATGGTCCACCAAGACCAGAACGTATTTCATCCCGTTAGCACTTAGGCCCATTCTAGAACATCAGCGCAAACATATTCGAATGGTTTGTTTGCGACAAACGGCTGAAGCTGCGGCTTTTACAGCATTGGGATTGGCCAGCAGACACCTTCATCATTTCACCCTTACCGTGATATCTCTCTCCATTGTTTCCCAAAAGACGCGCTTCTTCAGTAGCCTGCACATTTTCCTCGCAGCGAAATGTCCTGCCAGACATCCGCTATGCGCTTCGTCGAAGACCAGCTTCCTTTTTGACCTTGGCACTACCAGGACGGTGGTTCCATCTTCACGTATGAGTTTCAATTCCCCCTCTTCCAAGGTGAAATCTGCGATGCTCAACTTCTTTTTGAATCCAGGCAGTCTTACTTCTTCGTCCACACTTTCCCCTCTCAAGTTCTGTATCACAGGACCATAGTCCCTATCACATTCCAGTTCTCTTAGCCACTCGGGCTTCGTTTCTTCGTTCGTATGCATACGATTTTATCTTCGCCTGGGTTCGCCACTTCCTCCAGTTTTCCTTCAACCGGTGTACTCCTGGACAACGCATCGGCAACGGCATTGGCCTTGCCCTTGACGTATTGCACTGTCAGTTTGTACTGCTGTACCTCCAACGCCCAACGGAGCACTCGTGGTGGAACATTCTGCCTCTTGAATAGTGCTCTACAAAATAATGGAACTTTTGTATTTCGAAAACTATCGCAAGTGCCTCTAAATCGGTCACGTGGTAATTTCTTTCAGCACGTGACAGTTTTTTCGACGCGAAGTAGATGGGATGCAGAAAGCCATCCTTCCTTCCTGCGATAACACTGCTCCAATACCTTGTCTTGAGGCATCTGTGTAAATCACATACGGCTTTTCTCCTGTTCGAGCAGCCTCCACATGCGGCTGTGACAGCACCGGAGTCCTGATCAGCCGCGTCTTCAATTCTTCAAAAGCCTCATTATGCTCCCCATCCCACCTCCATAGGGCCTTTTGACTTCGTCAGGTCGAATAGTGGGCGAGCGATCTTTGAAAAACCAAGCACAAACTTTCTGTAGTATCCGCACATCCCCAGAAATGTGCGAAGCTCCGCCACTCCTGCCGGTTTCGGATACTGCTGTATTCTTTCTATCTTGTCTGGGTCGGCCTGGACCCCCTCTCCCGTCAACTGGTGCCCTAAAATGACTACCTTGTCCCTCATCAGCACGCAATTTTGGGGTTTCAGCTTGAGGTTGGCTCGCTGCAAAGCCTTGAAAACGGCCTTTAGCACCTCGAGATGCCTTTGCTTGTTCTCCGTGGCTACTCAGATGTCGTCAATGTATACAAACACTTCCTTAGCTTTCAGGCCACTAAGCACACTATCCATGAGCCTTTGAAATCGTGGGGGCGAAGTACACAATCCAAACGGAAGCACTTTGAACTGGAAAAGCCCTTCTGATGTCGTAAATGCGCTTTTCCTTTTGGCTTCCTCCGACATCGGGATTTGCCAGTATTCCGATGCCATGTCCAAGGTGCTAAAACACCGTCTTCCCTCAAGGCTCTGCAAAATGACATCGATCCGCGGCAGCGGATACGCATCTTGCTTTGTACACTTGTTGACTTCCCTATAGTCGATGCACAACCTTAGGGAGCCGTCCTTCTTTTTCACTAACACCACTGGCGACGCCCAATCTGATGATGACTCTTCTATGATTCCTCTATCCAACAATTCTTTGATCATCTTCTTGAATTCTGAGCGCGCCCCTAGTGGCACTGGATGTGTCCTTTGTCTTATGGGCGCAGTATCGCCCGTATCCACCTCATGCACTACTAAGCTCGTCTGCGTTAATTCTCTGTCCTCCACAGCAAACAGCGAATTGTACTCGTTCACCAGCTTCCACAGCCCATTATCGCTGTCGCTGCCCGAGTCGCGGTTTTGCCTCAGTAACTCGTCCAGACACCTCAGTCTCTCTTCAGGCTGCATCATCGGTTTTCCCAGGGTCATATCTGACGCCACATCTTTGGCTATCACTCGCGCGTATTTCACGCCTTGCTCCCACTCACCGATTTCCTGTCCTGCCCTCAGAACAAGGGGCTCCTTGGCTCTGTTCCACACTGGAACCTTTGCCATACCCTCTTTGTTCTTTCTACGAAGGCCGGATTGCAACCCTTCCACACGAGACTGTAACAATCTGTCTTCACCCTTGTCATCTGGGTATCCTTTTACTTTGACCCACCTCATCCCCTGGTGCTACGTATATCCGCTTACACACTAACACTTTGTTAGGAGAACCGGCTACTCTCGCATTTCCATGGGAAATCGTGGTATCATTTTTCTCCGAAGTGCTCTTATTCGGACTCAATTGACGCACTAGCACATATCCCAGTTTTTTCAGAGGATTCGTGCCTAAAACTAGCGTGCTATTTCGAATATCCACTACGTGCACATTACCGAGACAGTATCCTCGCTAACGCCCGCGAGCGGTACTTCTACCACATTCGTGAACTTCATGCAGTTCCCTGAAGCGTCAAAGATTCTTACGTTCACGTCCACCTCACGCTCCTGCGGCCTGTGCCCATCTCTTTACCGAAACACTTTCGCCGGCAATATCGACACTTCCGAGCCCGTGTCCAACAAGGCTGCCCAGCTTTTCCCGAATATTTTCACCGTAATTACGCTTTTCTCTCCATACGGTTCTGCGTTTCCGCCCTTTTTCACCAGGGCTGAACCCATCCTTTTCTTGTGCAGATTGCGTGACTTTACTGGCACTCTCCGACGGTGGTACTCTTCAACTTCCTTTCTTTGCAATCCCTTGCTTTGTGCCCTCTGCCTTTGCAGATGAAGCACCTCATCTGACCCCCATCGGGCACTTCCACTGGATGCGACTTCTCCAATCTTGCCGCTTCTCCACTTTCTTTCCTGCCCTCGACTCCATCTTTACTATCTTGCACAGTTCTCGGCAGGTCCGAACGGTTGTAACGATGACTCCTACCATCACCGTTTTTGCAGGACCTCGCTGCTGCTGCCCATTGTGAGTCTTCTTCTTTCCACACGCATGGCTGCCTCCTTAAGGTTCGCATACGCGCTCTGACCCTCCTTTTCCATTGCTTCCATGAAGTAGTACGACTCAGGCCAGTGGACTACAAGGTCGTACAACTGCTGCGCCCTAATTGTCGCCACAGCCCCTTCGTCTAGCTCCGGATATGCTTCGACCGACAGCCTTTCAAGCTCTACGCAATACTCAGCGACCGTCTGCGTTTCGAGCTTCCTCAGTCGCCTTAGCTTCCCCAGCGCAATCACCCTTTTTTTTGTTTACTCTCTGTTTAGCCTAGCCATCGCTTCCATGATCCCTCCAACCGAACCATGCCTGACCTCACGTGGCCGCGCTTCATACTGAGCTTTAGCTCTTCCGCCTAGCTTGAACTTTAGCAGCGCTTTGAGTTCCTTATCTGACCAGCTGTGCCTCGGGTACTTTAGGGAAAAGGACTCCACAAAGCTTTCCCACGGATAATCCCTATCAGTACCTACATAAACTCTTACATCCGGTAAGGCTATGTATTTCAGGTAACTGTTCATGTGGTTAGGTGCACGCGCTGGGTGACCCCTACAGCGGCTTGAACTCAATTCGGAGCAACTTTCGCTTCCGCTCCACTCACTCTCACTCGATATGACACGAGACTCACCGTGGGCTCTCCGCGTCCTCCCTGAGGATTGATCCGACTCCGACATCCAATGACTCCATTCTTGCGGCCCTCTTCGCCCATTCTGCAACACATCCATTTCAGGATTCAGCTCGCGTTTCAACTTTCGCAGAGCTTCCAACCTATGCTCTACCTTGTCCACACGCTGCTTACCTGGTAGGGCTTCACTGCCGCCTTCTTTTCTCAAACTTTTGAGCACTTCGATTTCCTTTGCTTTTTCCTCGAGCTGCTTCTGCAATGACAAAATCTCGTTCTCCTTACGAGCTAACTGTGTCATTTTCTTTTTCAGCTCTACGCAGCTATTCACTACCTCTTCCAGCCGCCATTCGGTGCGCCTCAAGATTTCGTCCACTACAGCAGCTTTTTCTAACAAGCTCCACCGCTTGAACAAAATCGTATTGAGTATCGCCTCTAGCGAGCTCATGAGCTGCCTAAAACCTCGCTGTTCTTTGGCGCTCTTCGCACAGGCTTCTTTGAGCTTGGCCAACTGGTTCTCAGCTACCTCCACCGCTGCCCTGGTAACCCCCTCAAACCTCTCACGTTTTGGGTCATTCGTGCGCCAGTGCTTGCTCACCTCCGCTACTGCCAAAATCTCAATCTCTTTTATTTTCTCAAGAACTTGCTCACATACCTTGAGCTGTTCAACTTCTTCATGGCGTTGATCCGCAGCCATTTCAACATCGATTGCCCACATGTTTTGCTGGGCGACTACGCCTCCTGCAACAAGCACGTTGCTTTGTGTTCCTTCGGCGTCTCCCGACGCGACCGACGCAGCCATCTGCGGGGCGGTCAGTCCAATGTGATATCAAGTTTCTCCCTCTTCTTCCAAAATCGACAGCCCAGCACACCCGCTCCTTCCAAAAAAAATTTGGGCGAGTTTACCCTAAGGAAATTGGGTGTGCTGCTACCAATTTTTTCAAAAAGAAGAACAAACTCGACACCACACTGATTCAGTGAGTTGGATTTTCCTTTCGGAACACCACTTACTCACTAACAGCGCGTAAAAAGTTAGCTGCCACTCAAGGACGGTCCAAGGGGCGCTAACACCACGGAACAATGTGCTAGAGACATCGACTTTTCAAACTCCTGTACACTACCACGGCGCTTGGCCCCCAAGTTGGAAAGAGCAGGCAAAAAAATGTAAGTGGTAGTGTACGGTTTCACCGTTATAGAAGCCAGAAAACTTGAAAAGTCAACCTTTTTATTTCAAAAAAAAAGTTGCAACGCGCAGGACAACAAAATTATTATTCAGAATGATTACCTCCGCAAGATTGATGATAGTGTTGCAAAAGAAAATATAGATACAACCGAGAAGGTTCACGCTAGCGTAAGGAGTCAATGTAGTCCTTAGTAAAAAAAACAGTGAGTACGACCACTTACTACCAGTAGAAGCAGACAAGGGCGGCTGGCGGGGTCTTGCGGGCAGTGTCGAGCGTGCGGCCTCGTTCTTCTCAAAGCGAAGTTCCAACTCCTTCCCTCCACGAGCTCATCCACATTCCACATTTCGCGCCCATTTTTCCCGCGCTCCACCGCCTGCCTTGCGTTACAGACACATGGTAAGTGACATATCGATTGAAATAGATTATCAGTGATGAGACTCAGATCAAACATTACATTTAGGGTACTCACTAAAAACACACATATTGTTAAAAGACTGTCATCCACATGAAAGAAGTCATGCGTGCTAGCAAAAGAAACATTGCATACTGCCTAAGGGTTCCACACATCAATTCAAAATCTTTGTGCAATAGTAGAAAAAGTCAATCCATCTCAGTCTAGTACTATTCTTTGCACCACAGGTCACCCCGACTAGGTCGTCACCGAGTGGGAACTCTGCTGAACATGCGCCGTTGTCGCCTGCACCCAGTTTCTGAAGATGGGACAAGTACTTCAGAAAGTTTGATAAGAATTTTGATCTCCCTTTAAAAATGCAAGTGACCCAAATATCATACTTGTCAGGTTTCTGACGTCAAATGCTGTGCATTATAATTGCAACAAAAATAGAAATCCCAGGTCTACTCTATACAGCATCCTCGTAGAGTTAAGATTCGATACGAAAGTTGTAGACGAGGAAGTGTGCAGGACTACATGGCTTGGCATCGACGAGCAGACCTTCGGAACAGCCACGCCTTTGATAGAGAATCGATCAGAGTCATCGAGTCCTCTGGAGATTGAGAACTTCTTCATAAGTTTAGCGCAGGGCAGATCACATTTATAGGCATCTCAAAACTAGAAAACGCAGTTCGAAACTCGAAAGTTCGAAAAATGGTAAAAATTAGGTTGGGCAACCAAGAACTTAACGGCAGACTTTTGGGATATATATTCGAGGTGGTAGACTATAACTGAGTAAAAATTTCGCTCATTCTTATGCTGAAGAGTTGAACCAGATTACAACCATTCCTTTGTGAGAAAACAGGAAAAATTAGTCGGGAACGATGTAAGCTTGCATGTGTTGTTCGTGACCTTGCAGTCCACAGAATTGAGAGCTCTCGTGAACCTGTCTGAGCCAGTTCCTCAACACATTCACATGACCTACTAGCACGCCATAATCTCATCGACTTGCTTGCATTTTCCTGTGTAGCTACAGGCGATTAGCTCGAGGAAATTGGATGCGACGTGACCCCCGCTTACTTTCTGCGCGAATGAGGGTTTTTTCTTATTCATTGCACGCTCTGCCGTCAACAAATCTTTGACGTCTATTATAACGGTAATTGTAACAAGCACACAACGAGTTTTTATACTGAGGCAGGTGCGAGCCCGACTCGACGCCATGCTGAACCACAACTCTGTGTGTATGAAGTGTACCGTAGTGACAGGGAGGGCAGAGGGCTGGCGGTGGTGTGCTCATATATAAGAACCTCCTGCATGATTTCTTTATCCAGAGAGATTTTTGCGAACTTCAATCATTTTGTCAGAATTTATAGCCCTTTATCAACTTCCGACGAGGGGACGTCAACGTCCTTCTTGGAATATTTCAATTTTCCTCTAATTGATTGACAACCGGATCGTCAATGGTACTCCTTAGCATCCTCGATTTCTTTTATCCACTTCTTTAATTCGGTAAAAGGTAAGCTCCGGTTCAAACTGGTACATAAGAACGCTTCGAGTAAGCGCTGAGCTGCATTATACACTGATGGAAGCGAAGGCAGGAGAGATCATCGAGACGCTAGATTCAGGAGCGCCCAATATCGTCGGATGTGATACGACGGAGAGGTAGTGTGACCAGGAACGACAGAATGCGCAAGAGAACACGCTGATCTTCATGTCTGTGGCGGTGGGTAGAGAGCGTGGCGATGGTTGCAAGTCCGTCCTAGCGCCCTAAGTACTCATTTTAGGCTATGGATTCTCTTCCTTTATACTTGAAGCGTTTGAACTTCTGCGCTGCCTAATGGCAGAGTATATCAATATTGAGCTAGGAAAGAACAAAACCGTAAGAAACCCCACGGAGTCCATTTCATAAATTATAATAAAACCAGGCATCTTCAATCAACCTCTTTTGGTCAGAACTAAAAGCATGCCAAGTATGCCCGTGGACATAAACATGTGCTTCTGTGTCGCCAGTTCATGAAAGAAATAGAATTAAGACAACCTTAAAACACAAAGATCTTCTTCAATTATTACAGGAAAATCTCAAAATGGCTGATTTTGCTAAAACTTTCATCTCGCAAGATGGGTCCTTAGTTAAAGACGAGATGCCTAGCGTAAAATCTTTTCACCGACTGTTGATAGTGGATTCGGCTAGACTTAGTCCAATGAATATGGCGAGAAGCCCCAGGCGTGGTATTGCTTGCTCCTTCTTGATCGGTGCGATTTTTGATTTCGCAGTGAGGAGTTTCGTCTCCTTGATGCCTGCCCTAGATGTAGTTGTCACGTAGATGCAACAAGCGTACGCTCGTTTAGAGCTGTCCACAAATATCGACAGTGTGTGCTGTGTCGTTCCGTCCTTCTCAACACTCTCCTCGGCAAATTGATATCAAACCTAAACTGTTTTGGTATTCTTCAGACAGTGGATCGTCCCATCCGTACTTTTGCTTGTGAAGATCCTGGAGGAATATCTTGTCTGGTATCATCTGGTGACAGTAAACCAAGCGGATCGTAACAGTATCCGTTGATCTGGCTAAGAACTGTGCGCCTAGAGATCTTGTTGACTTGCTTTTTGGAACACTGCAAGGTGATAGTGTCCCCGATGGCGTTCCTGTGAATTCCAAGAACTTTGATTTCAGTTGAATTTGCTCGATTAGAATCCATTATGTTTCTGTTGACTACAACCGAGTTGGAGAGGTAATCACGCAGGTCAATTCCAATGGAAGCGAATAGTCGTTTAGATCCAGCTTATTTCCGAATTAATTCGTTTGCATTTCTTCCTTCGAGTAGTACATTGTCTACGTAGAGGGAGTTGGAACAGTCTTTCTCGGCAAATCTGATGCGACCCTTCGGTATGCTTCAGTATCGACTGGTGTAGGATAGCTGGACTTGCATTGATGCCGAAAGGAACCCGGCAGAAGCGGAAATACTTGAGATTGTTCCCTGCTGGTGGGAGCGATGTATCTTTCACCCAGATGAATCTTGTGACATCTCTATGCTCCTTGGGCAGTCGTATTTATGCTTTTTGTATATCGGCCACCATGGTGTAAAGATGCGTGCGAATTTGCAGCACCACTTCGTGGATTAGTGGTGTTAGTGAATGGCCTTCAAAGATGACGTCGTTGAGGCTACACTCATCTTTCGCATGTGAAGATGCATCAAACACTACTCGAAGCTTGGTTGACTTTGAAGGTGTCCATACGTATCTCTGAGGGAGGTAGAAGTTAGCGACGCTGTTTGAAAAGTTGTCCGCTTCCTCTATGATTCCTTCTTCAAGATATGTCGTTGTATAGCTTGAGTTTCTCCTCGTCTCCGTGAAGAGTACGCATTAGACTTTGAAGTCTTCGAACGCTGAAGTTGTCTTTCAGGTTCTTAACTTCGTCGGTGGACGGAAATCCTGCAGTGATGTTCCCACTCTCGATAGTTATGGTTTTTTCTGTAATCCTCCATGAATTTGATGACGGATGCTTCATCAGTGCCACTATCTGTGTTTATTCCAAGTGACTCTAATTCATACAGATGTTTTATATCCATTTTGTAATCATCTTTTGATGAAATGAGTGGAGTAGCAACGATGACTGAGCTGCACTGTGCTTCTGAGTTGCTCCTCGTCGAACTAGTAAAGCCGCTGGTGCCGGAAATTGTGTACCCAAATATAGTTGGTGTGAGAACTAATCCGGATGGTAGCTTGATATCTGCAGCATTGTGGTCAAGAATTTGGTGCAGTAAGTCTTGTCCTACGAGAATGTCAGGCGATACGTTCAGGAGGTTCCTCTGCGCAATCGAGATCTTTTTCCCTTTTATGAAGTTTCGATCTTCTTCTGATAGGTTTGCTGTCCTCGTGGTAGTGGTCAGCTTGTCTTTGGTGAAGACTGATATATACGCAGCTTGGTTGAGCTAT